CAGTCCAACAGATAGGTAAGCTTCGTGCGTTCAGTGCTTCCCCAGCATTTTTGTATCCTCCCCTCCACAGTGCCATGTGCAGTGGGCATGAAGTAAGGCCAAATGAGGCCAGCCCTCCTTGGCAACACACATGCACATGACTTGGTTACTCTTTGCACATACATGCACTTGCATTCCACATGTGCAGAAGTATCCCTGTTTTTCCTATGTGCTCTTGCTCACATGTATACATTTGTAGATTCTTACCCTCACAAAGTCCTCTGTCTCTTTCACACACACACACATGTGCACACACATCCATACAAGCACTGGCTCACATGTTTATATGAACTTCATGTATTTCTGCCCATATGGTCATCTTTACATTGAATCACATATGAATCTTGAAGCTGCTTTGCAGGAAATTATTGCCTCTGGGTCTGGGAGATACGACTATTTCTGGTGGGCTTTGGGCAGGAAATTCTCCCTTAATCTGGGCTCCATCAGTAAAACAGGAATAATGGGGTAAAGCTACCTGTTATGTGGCAAACACAGCATTGGCAACCTTGTGCTTTCCACAGAATATCGACACACGAGTAGGGGCACATGCAAGGGAAAAGCAGAAAGGAAGGGCTGCTTAAATCTTCCCACATCCTCCAGGTCTCTCCTGCAACCTCCATCTCTATGCTTTTGTTACCTTATTCCCTCCCCACACCAGAAATGTGCCCAGAGAGGGGGGAATTGCATAGAAGACATTTGTAAGGGAGAATTGGCAGGCCTTCACCTCCACACATCTGTCCATTCCCCCCGAAAAATGCACATGCGGGCAAACACATTTTCCTGTATTTGTGATACATACTTCCATTTGGGAATGTATGTCTGCTGAACTGTGCCATTCCATCTATCCTGATTTACCTTGCGACTATTGTGGGGATGGGAAATGAATGACAAAAGGATTGTCAGTGGCTTGGGATTCAAGATAATGATAAATGAATAGCTGTCCCAAATAAATAACCTTCCCCTTTACTCTTTCAATATGCAAAGGCCCAATCCTACCAAATATTCATCCATTCCTATTCGTGGATTCCCCATGTGTAACAAATCATACTCCCTTGCCAATACCAAATATGGATGTTTTATCTGGGGATAAATCCCAGGGCACCCCCATGTTTCCTACGGGCTAAAATGCTTTTGTATAAACAAGCCCTCCTTTACTGTAGGAGTGACTTTTTTCCTAGGCTTATCCCACATTTTAAGGCTCATGTCCCTTTGGGAGGGGCTAATTGTCTGGGCCGTTCCCACAGGATTGGCACCCTTTGATCCATCAGTCAGCTCTGTCCATGTGCTGCGGCTGAGCTGTGGGATAAATCCACAGAGAAACAGCTCCCATAGCGCTGCAGAACTTGTCAGGAGCACCAACTCAGGAAATGTACACATGGGCAGCATGCAACATCTAGCAAGCATCTCTAAGGAAGCTGCGTGCGCACGCATGCACACACACCCTGTAGCACTGCCTGGCTGCTTACAGAGACACAGACAAGTCCAAAGATGCCTTGGAAAACAGCCCATCAAAGTGAGGCAAAACTACTTCGCCAGGTACAAGCAGGCTCTGTACAGATTATAGTCTGGGTTAAAAGGCCCCATAAGGGAGAAAACTGTGCCCTTTGGTATGGATGTAGATTGTAGTCTGCTGAATGCGCTAAAGCTAAGGTATGGCCGGATTCTCACAGACCACAGATTCTCACAAATCTTGTACACTTGAGGAGCTTGGTGGCAATGTTAGCCACCAATTCAGCAGCACACACTGGGCAAGCTACCGGCAGTTCCAAGTGTCCATTTCAAATCTGTAAAATGGGAATAATAGTTATCTGCTCCACTGAGCTGTTGCAAGAAGCATATGAATGATCTCAAAGTACTCTGGACACTGCCAAAGTACTCTGGCCATGCATCTTCCTTTACAGTGGTAGTCCACTATTTGAATGACTGTCCAGGTCAAAATTTCTTAAAAGGCCATAAGAAGGGACAACGGGGACCTTGATGCTTTATTCTCATCATTTGCTTATTTATTTCACTATGTGTAGGCCATCTTTCTACCTGGACAACAGATTTAGCACTTGAAAAATTCCCCATGTCACAACATGTACCACTGAAGTGAGATCTCTTGTATCCCTGTTTAAATTATAGTCATTATAGCTAAGTGAGCTCTTAGGCAGAAATTAACATATGCTAATTTATGCAGATCAGCACACTGGTTAGCCCTCTTTTTGGTGATGTATTTCTCCCTTTTGGTCATGTATAAGTGGCTACCATATTGCTCAAGTGACATTAAGTATATTTACTTAGAAATAAGTCCCATTTATGTCAGTGGAACTTAGTTGCTTATGAGTACGTTTCAGTTTTCAGTCTATTAGGCTGATCCTATGCACGTTTAGTCAAAAGTAAGTCCTACTTTGTTCAGGGAAGCTTATGAACATGCAGCAATGGTCTAAAGTAGCATTATATACATACTAAATTAGGAGCAAATTCTGTTAAAACTTATTTTTGGGTCAATATGCAAATGCTTGGGCTCTAAAACTGTGCATTAAATTATCACTGATATAAAAGGATGAACAAATGCAGATCCTCACCAAACTATGCTAGAAAGAAAGCGAAAACTACATCACTCACACATATGCAAAAGAAGCGCATCTAATTTTATGCACATGTAGCACATAAGCAATTAAATACAAATGTGTCTGAAATCTTGTGGGGTATGAGTTCATAGGTACATGGCAACTGGGAAATGAAGGAAATGCAGATGAAACTTTTCTGTTGTGCTCATAACCACATTGCACAGCGAGTTGAGAGCTGCACAATACAAGCAGGGTACAAATCATGCTGCATTGGTAGAAGAATCCACAAGGAATGTATCAGATAAGGAGAGCATTCTCACTATGTTCTATGCACGCTTTCAGTGAAGATCCACAGAACACAGTGGGGAAATCATGAATGCATGTGCACATTCACATGAACATACTCAAAACACACATGGCAGGACATAAGAAACCACATGGATACAGATTTACAGCCAGCATGAGTGTTCCACAAATGAGTGCCAAAGGGACAAATCACCCTGAGAATCTACTGTGTGCCTGCAAATAGATGGATTGTAGCTGCCACAGCTCACACACTCACACACACACACACACTGATGGGAATGTGCACAGACAGACTTCATGACTACACCCACACAGCAATATGTGATCATATAGATGAATACAGATCCAGCTAGGGTGACAAATTCACGCTTGTGTGAATGCCAGACAAGCATATGCACAATGAGATCCAAATTATTCATTCAGAAGATATTAAGAAAATTTGATCAGCTTAGATTCCACCCCTCCACCCCCCCCCAACTGATTTTTAAAGATAGATAGATAGATTTGCAAGGATGGCAGAAGAAAGGGTTGGGGGAAGGGAAGGAAGAAAAGAGCATACAGAAGAGCCAAGGGGAGAAAGCCAAGTAACCATAAGAAAGGGGTACAGAAGACACCAAAGCCCCACCCACATATGGGAACAGTATACTCTGCTCAAACCGACTTCGGTTTTTGAATCTTCTCAAGACATCATTCACACCCATTCACACACTGTGCTTCACAATCAGGACTAGGAACTTTCTGTCATATTTTGCAGGAAAGCTGTAATGCTTGGGGGTGGCAAATAACAGGTCCTGCACTTGTGCAGTGGAATCACAGATGCATACATGCAGATGCAGAGAAACATACTTGGAACTGGCTAGCATATGAATTTTTGCACTCGCAGTGTGATAGATTGACTGACTGAGCTCATTTCAATCAGATCCAGATATGCTTAAAGCGCTGACATCCAACCATTCAGATAAGCATGCCCACACAAGTACTTATCTGTCCCTCTATCTACTCACAACTACAAGCAGATATGGATACCGAGAAGAAAATGTTCTTACAAAGGTACAGTCACTGTCAGGGGAAGCGTGCATGGCATGCATGCATGAATGGAAGTACATGGACCTAAATGCACAAAAGATGTGCAGAAAAAGACATCTGCACACACATGCGTACACAGGGAAAATATGCATGCATAATCTTATACTTGCAGATTAAGCTCATAAAGAGGGCACACAAATGGTGCATATAATGGCATATACATGAATATGTGTGCACGGAGATTCGTGTACATCCTGAAGCATCTAGATTGCTCTTTCTTCCGTATTTGTCCTCCCCCTTTCTCCATCTCAGACACATGCTATTAACACTTTACAAAAATATGCACACGTACCCTTTGCAGCACCCTCCCTATGCAGCCGAGAAGCACCTATACAGGTCTCCACGTGTGTGCAAACATGTCCATATGCAGCTGGGCGAGCTGCACACCTTGCGCAAGGGACCACATGTCCGCACACAGCCCCTCTCATGCCCTTTTTCTGGAAGCTCCCGCATCCCCCAACTGGCTTTTGACAGCCTTGCCCGCCATCAACGTTTCCTCCCACCGTACTACCAAGATGGCTATGTCTGTGTGCGTGTGTGAAAGCTGAGGGGTTAGGAGCCCCCCATCCCGCGTCTTTGACACTTGCTCGCGCGCGCACACGTTTCCTCACTCACCCAGTTCCCACAGATGGCTGCCCCCCCCGCTACGGACCGTAAGTGGACCCCCCTTATTGGGAACGGGGCCCTCCAGAGGGGGGCGTGGCAGGGTCCACCCCGAGGTGGCCGTACGCGAGGGCTGCGCCGGTGTCACCTCCAACGGCCATGCCTGCCTCGCCACTGCCCGAGCGGAGCGCGGCAGCACCTTCCCGCTTCCCCCGCCGCGGAAACCCCCAGCTCCTCTTCCCAGCCGAGGCCGGTGGTGTTTCGCCACCCCCGACCCCCTCCCCGCAGAAAGCGCGATTTCCAGCCTCCCACCCGCCAAATCCCCGCCGCATGCAAGAGCTGCTCCTCTCCCCACAATCTCCCCTTCACAGATCCACCCACACGCGTTGCCCCCTTCCCTCCCCACCCCGTTACCTGCCACCGATGGGAGCCGCTCAGCACATGCTCTCGCTTCCTGGGGGGGACCCTCTGGCTGGTCCCCCCCTCCTCCACCGCCGCCCCCTCTCCGCCTGGTGGCGTGTCCTTGCGGTCTTGCGGTGGGCGGAGAGGTCCTCCAGATGTTTCCGCCGAGGCGAAGCCACGCTAAACCGAGGTGTGTGCACAGGCGGGAGGGGTGGGGGTTGCTTTAGGCTTCCATGGCGGCGCCCCTTGCAGGCTCCGCTCCGCTCGGTCTCCCAGGGCTGCGCTGCTGCCAGCCGCTCCCTCAGCCTCTCCCTCCCACCCTCCTAATGCTGCTGCCGGGGGGAGGACGCGCCTCTCCTCTCCTCTCCGCTCCTCTCCCCGCCCCACCCCCACGCCCGCTCCCTTTCTGCTGTTCAGGAATGCATGGGTTTTTGCCCAGCCCCCCCGTCTCATTCATAGCGTCACGTGGGCATGGGTGTGGGGACGGGGTGGTGGAGGAAAGAGATCCAACAAGCACACTCACACACACCCATCTTCGCTCACCATCCTCAACCCCGCAGCCCACCTTCTTCCTCCCCGCTCTCCATACCTCTTGGCTTCTCTCACAACCTTCGGTCCCCCTGGGTTGCTTTGCCAAAGGCGCCCGGTCTCCTCCTCGTTGCTTCCCATTTATCCATCTTATAGCTATTGCATCCTCCGGGAACGGCTTCATTTACATCCCTGGATCGGGCTCCATTTTTCCTTGGGTCTTTTCATTCCGATCACCACCACTATCTCTAAAAGAGATGCTTCGGATGCTCCTCCACGAGCACCTGCCCCGTCCAACAGTGCTTTCATAGGCAAGGCTGCTGGATTTTGGAACCTGTTCATATGGGTTTTGAAAATTAAACAAGCTTGACCAGCATGTGCATCCCAGTTCTCTTCCCCACTGTTAGAGCCTTCATTTTATCCCATTGACCTCTGCATGCATCAGCCCCACACTTCCTGATAGGCAGCCCTACATATATTTGATCATAACTCTGCTCATCCATGCATCACAGCAACATACATCCCTACATTAGAATTCCACCCTTATACACTGAATCCCACCTAAATATTTAGGACCTCTGGATATCAGTGTCCTTGCTGAGTACTTAGCCTTACTTTATTTGTCGAGTTTCACAGACTTACGTACCTGTGTGGTCAATTTGCATTCTGGATAAATACCAACCCAAGAAATCAAAACATCCTTCCCTATAGTGATTCATCACACTCCCTTGTTAGTTGTGGCCCCTGCTTTTTGCTGTTTTCAAGACTTCTAATGCTGTAGCTTGGACACAGGGAAAATGTGCACAACTAAGACATACTTGTGTGATCAGCTGGGTAACATTTGCTCATGCAACTCAAGAGCAGCACCCCAAACTGAGACCTGTTTTAAACAAGCATGAATCACATAACTGCACAAGGCTGTACATGAATCTTGGTACTTGCTTGCTTGTTTTTATTATTTTATATCACTCTCTAATCATGTTTCCAGGGTGGTTTACAAAAAAGAATAAAGCAATTAAATTAAAAATAAAAACAGACACCATCAAATAAGCTAAAGCCCACAAAAGTATAAAAACAGGATTGAAACTGTATCTAAAATGCTTGGGAAAATAAAAAGAGGCCTTTTACTAGTAGACATGAATTAGTGTACACGAATCCTGGCATATAGGTGAGAGTGCACTTTTGTACTGTTTGAATTGTCTGGACTACAGAAATGCATGCATAGCGACTGGGCATGCAATTTGACATGGACGTTACACGTAAACACACATAAATACATTGGGATTGTAATTCATAGTATTTATTTGATAGATGAACATCCTGCTTTTCAGGGTGTTCCTGCTTTTCAGAGTCCTCAAGTGGCTTACAACATTTATAAAATGCAATGGCTGTATTAAAAATTGTACATGTAGGAGAAAGCAAAGCAAGAAGTCCACCAGCTATGAAGCCAGATGCAAAATGGTTGTCTCAGTATGGAACTAATTACATTCCGAACACATGAGGCACATACTGCATATACAACTATAAATTTGCATCTGAGATGAATCTGGAAAATGCTAATAGCATAACTGAATGGGAAAAGCAGACTTTTTGTTGTTACTGTTGTTAAACAGGGAGAGTACAAAACCACTGTGCTCCACTGAAAATCATTCAGGGATGTGCTACCCGTATTATCCTGATCTAACGTTGGCCAGCCCCTGTGTTTTTATTCAGTTATACTCACTGTACTTGAAACTGCTCAATAAGCAAAAATGGGTAGTGCGCATTAAAAATATGAAAGACAAACATTAAAACAAAATAGTAACATGAAACAGCACAGAATATTGTGTATTAACATTATTGCTGTGTTTCAACACGCACAAAATCACTACATGTATACATGAGTTGAATCTACCTTCAGCACAGAAACTTATATTGATCTGTGAGTGTAATAAACAATTCATCATTGCATATATACATGCATACATGGTGATGCATGGCCAACACCAGCAACTTGTTATTTTTCAGGAATGCTGCCTTTCCCTCAGTTTACACTTGGCACAGGGGTATATCATCTGATATGTATGGGAATATGCAGACTCATCTAAGTATTGAGCAAACTCTGATACATCTGCTGCTACCACTAACAGCCATACCAAACATGAAGGAGATGAAGAGGGAAGTAGGGCCATTCCTCCACTACTGCAGAAAGACTGTGTATTTTTTTTTCTCTTCCCTCCCCACCTCTTTTTCCTTATGTGTCAGGACTTTTTAGACTGTAAGCCTGTGGGCAGAGAATGTATTGCTTGTGCTGTTTAAGGGATTGCAGGTAAGCTATTCTGGGAGAGCTTTTGACTAATGAATGGGGTAAAAATACTTCAGATAATTTACAAATACACAGAATGGATAGGAAGGCCAGCAAATGAACACATTCATTATCTATTATGGTATATAATACATTAAACTAGCTTTTAGTTAAAAGGAACTTCTGGAGTAACTTATAGCAATTAAAATATGTTCCGAAAGCCACAAGGAAAGGTCTTTGTTTGACCCATTATTAAGATAGAGGGTTGCTGGACTACCATCTCTTTTCCATCTCTGATAGTCTTCCTCTGATTGATGGTAGCTAGTAGCTCAGAAGAACTGATTCTCAAATACGTCTTGAGACTAATGGTTAATTGTTAATTAATCCCAGGACACTGGTTTTTGAAACATATGCCTGAAGTACAGCCATGTAGTGCTAAACTTTGAAGTGCAGGTTCTCATCATGACAGCTCCCATGGCCACAATCCCCAAGAACTGGATGTTGGGTACCAAAAAAATCCAGGTTCACAAAAAAGTGTCCCAGTTTGCATATGCTAATTTCCATATCCTTTAAGCTCTGTGTGTATATTTCAAGGATATCCCTATTTGTCAAAAATGATGTATGGCAGGGGAGAGGAGGGAATTTATCTTCAGGAAAACTGAAAATTTGGGAGAGGCAACAAGACGTGGGCAAAAACCAAGTAATTCAGGGGCATCCAATGCTGCAGAGATCATCAGGGCCCCTGTACCTTTATTTCAGCAAGTGCCCAAGGACAGCAGGGTGGTGAGGCAGATGGTGTCCCAGAGGTTCGGGGCTCCAAATGAAAGATCCTGGATTCCAGCCCTAGTAGGACACCCCATAACATTGCCTCTACCAATGAGAGTCCAGAACTGTAGGGAGCTGATCCATACTTTTATACAAGTATGCAGGTGTGTGTTTTTTCTGGGTTTCCCCACACACACAAACACACCAGCTCAGAATTTTTCATTAGGTGGCATGTTTGAATGTTTCTTTTTTGCAAAATTAAAAACAAAAAACCAGATTTCACAATTTTTACACCCATCACCCCAATTTATCTCCATCTTTAAATGCAAACCAAAGCAAATGGAGTTTAATTGCCTGTTCAAGACAAGCTGCTCCAAAATACATTGTCTTACAACAGGGATCGCTCACAATAATATAGTGTTGCTAGAAAAGTCCATTCGCTGCCTTCCAGCTACTGTGGGAAATGCAGTTAAGTGGGGTGGGAATGAGAAGCTGGCGTGTGTGGGGTGACAGATATCATGGTCCCTGCTAATCAATAAGTCTGGATGTTTCAACCCTGTTATCACTTCCTTCATTACAGCACTGGTGAAGTATTTTTCCATAGGGATATAAGAATAAACAAACAGATTTGAATGAAGATGTACAAATATGCTTTTTATGTGATTGTACTCCTCCTAAAAAGTAAGGTATGCAGTTTGGGAATTCTCATGGATTCAGCACATCATCCCACAGAGGCACAAGTGATGTTGGAGGCCAGCAGTGCTTTTTATTAGCTTGGGGTGTTTCATCAGCTGCAGGCATAGCGAGAGAAAGCTGGCCTTGCATCAGCCGCACATGCTTTGGTTACATCTGGGCCTGATTACTGTAAAGTGCTTTACGTAGGTATGCCCTTAAAGATGGTTCAGAAACTACACTCGATGCAGTAACTGGATTACTTACAGGGTTCCAGTCATATTGCATCCATTTAAAGCTGTCTACACTGATGGTCTCTTCATTTCCAGGTCAAAATTAAGGTACTAACATGAGCCCTAAAATGTGGGTGTTGAACCACTTTCAGCTTGAAGGCCACCTTCTGCTTTGGAGAAGCTCTTATTTATTTATTTATAGCTGGGATACTGTCCCATTACTGATGTCTCCAGACTTCCCCTCTTGGGAGGCTACATTCCAATGGTAGTTGGGGTCTGAGGCAAAAGGGCTGGGATCGAAATGCTGACATAGTTTAGTTTAAGGCTCTTACTACCAATGATTGACCATAGGATGGGCTGATGTCAACCCAGTGTGTAGCTGCTGTGAAAGGGGCAGAGCCCATGTCAAGCATAATTGAGAAAGAATTGAAAATAGAACCACAATGTCATACTGTCCTTATACTCATTTATGCTATGACAATATTTGGAATTACTGTGTACAGTTCTGGTTCCAGCACCTAAAAAAGGATATTGCAGATCTGGAAAAAATGCAGAAAAAGGATAATTAAAACAAGTAAGGGTCTGGAGCAACTCCCTTATGAGGAAAGGTTTCAACAGCTGGGATTGTTTTACTTAGAGAAAAGGTGAGAAGATGCAATCAAGGTGTACAAAATTATGCACGGTATGGAGAAAGTGAATAAGGAAATATTTTTCTCCCTTTTTCATAACACTAGAACCCAGTAGGGTCATCCCATGAAGCTGATTGGTGGGAGATTTGGGTCAGATGAAAGGAAGTACTTCTTCCCACAGTGCACAGATGAATTATGAAATTCACAATCCCAAGATGTAGTGATGGATGACTTTAGACAAATCTGTGGAGGATAAAGCTACTTAATAGTTACTAGATCATGCTGATCTACTGCAGATCAGTAGATCCTGAAATTGAGAGAGAGAGAGAGAGAGAGAGAGAGAGAAGCCCTGCTTGGGATCCATCATTTGAGAGAATAAGCAGTGTGCAAAAGAAATCCTGGTAGTTGGGGTAAGAGTGGGATTTAGGGAGTGAGTCTGAGTGTTTGCCACCTAGATGGGAACCTCTGAAGGCTGAAGAAGCCTTTATTAACATTGCTGTACTTGTTTCTCAGCTTGTTATTTTTTTCCTTTTTATCAGAAGTTTATACTTTTGCCTAAGGGAAACATATTCATTAGGCAAAAGGCCTGAATTGGAATACCCATATTTGTGATGAAGTCTCGCCAGCTGTCTTTTGGCCTATTTACACTCATTGTCAAACCAACTATAAGATGCTTGAGTTTTCCTTGAGCCATTATTCTTCCTATTAAATCTCAGTTGATATTGCAATCTATCAGTCAGAGTATTAAATAAATTTATGGCCTGAGAAGCAGAAGCAGTGCAGAGAGGACTGCAGCACGAGTGGTTATTAAGTCCTCTGTATGTAGAAGGTTAGTTATTCACAGCTGGTGTCCACTTAGTTCTCCTGTCAGTAGTTACACCTAGATCTGCATTAGAAAGGTGTGGAGTTTTTAGGTAAGGCTTGTTATGATTGGGCCATGCTAACATTGTTAAAGGAAGAGGATCACTTTCTATATTAAAACCAACCTCAAGCCCAGGGCTGTACTTATATGCAAAGTGAGACATTGCTGCATAATCAATGCACTACCTCCAAAACTAGTAAAATGAGTATTTTCCCAGGTCATTCACCATCTGCTGTACCGCTTAAAATGGCCACATCTTACAAATTGGGCTAAGCAGAACCCTGAATAATTATATCTAATATCCTTGGAATATCAAGAGAAACCACGTTTTATGTAAACATCTGACTCCATAATCTGTTCAATCTATACAATCTCACATCAGAATGTATGCAAGCTCACATCATCCACACCCCTGCAAGCATTGAAATCCCCAGCTACAATAAATAAATACTGTGTGAGAATATGGCAGTTGAAGAGATTCATTATAATTCTTTATTCTACCCAATTAGCAGTTGTCAGTGATTTTTTATTAACAGGATGGTATATAGACATTGATCAGCATGAGATGAGTTTTCAGGAAAGTAACATAAACAGTGGTTGCAATAGAATTGTATGGGCTCACAGCTGTTATGGGAAACATTCTTGTTTGATAAGCTCTAGGAAGAGCAAGACCACAAAGAACATTTGGACATTTCTAGAGAACTGCCAAAATAGAAAGAAAACTTCATCCACCTTGAATAATGTGAAGTGGTGGAATGAAGAGAGTATTGTAACCAGAGAACAGTAAGCAATCCCACCATATACGCTTGATCATGATCAAGTATGAAACTATGAATGTAAAGCAAAGATAGTGGGTGGAGTTGATCTCAGCAAGGAGTACTCTGCAGGCAGAAATCTATATTGATAAGGTACACACTGTACATTGTTTGGTTTCTTGCCATAATGTAACCTTTGTCAAAAATACCAGATTAACAGTTTCTTTAATTGTCTTAAATATACTTGCTTGGTGTTAATAATTGCTTAAACTCTAGTCCAGGGGTCTCAAACTCAACTTACCTGGGGGCAGTCTGGGTGAGGCTGGACCGCAGCAAGTATTCCACCACCATGGTGGTGGTGGGCTGCTCATCCTGCGTCGCTCCCGGAGGCCGGCCCAGGTGCCACTCCCCCGTGCCCTGCCCATCCCGGCAATTGGCCCGCGGGCCGCGAGTTTGAGACCCCTGCTCTAGTCTATGGGCATCTATTGATAAAGTAACTGCTACACATAAAATGACTGAGTCCTCAGCATGAGGAGAAACACATTTTTATGAATTCAGAAATAAGCAGGAAATAGAAGGCTGACATGCAAACAAGAGGCCTGTTTAATTAGATTTATTATCCTTAAATTATTTCTCTTACATGTGCAGATCCATGTACAAGAATAATATGTCTTGAGATAAACAAAGAAAGCAGGGCCACTTGTTCCTGGAAGAGCAAACATGCAATTAATTGTTCTATCACACACACGGACACGCACACACAAAATGTATGGACTTTCTCAGCCCCTTCCTATTGATAGATATTAATATCAAAGGTTGGCATCTTAGAACACTCCAGATATTTTGGCCTACAGCTCCCATGATTCCTTATCATTGTGTATGCCAGATAGGAATGATGGGAGTTGTACACCAAACATCAGGAGAGTCACAAGTTGCCCACTTTAATGTAAGTGAATGCTAATATAAAAAGCCCTGCTGGCAGACTTTCCTTTTAAAAGTTTAATTAAAACTGAGTGTGTTTGTATATGTATGCACATAATTTAATATAGAATCTGAGAAGAAAAGAAAGATGTGAATTTAAATTGTCAGGTGACACCCCCCCCCCCCTTCCACACACACACACATTTTTCACTCCCAGTTCAGTCTGGTTAAAACTTGGGCCTCTTCTCACACCACATCTGGATCCGATCAGACGTTCCAGCTTCTGGCTGGCTGAAGTTTGGTTCCTCCCTTCTTCCCTCCCACCCCTTCCATTTCTGCCTGAACATCGCCTGAGTGGGCAGACCGCAGTGAATTCCAAGGGACAGAGAGAGAAAAGGGCAGACTTGGTGTATCTTTGAGTGGATTTAGGCAAGACTGAGAAGAGTTGAGCTCCCCAGCTCTGTTTCATTTGTGCACCAACCCTGGGCGGAGAGGAAAGCACCATGGAGCTGTGGGCTCTGATGAAGATGCTGTTCTTGGCGATGCTGCTTGGGGCATCTTGGGGACAGAGGGATGAGCTAAGCTCTGAGGAAGAAAGAAAAGCTCTGATGCTCAAGGTGAGCGGGGGGGGGGGGCAGGGGGAGAGGGAGGGAGAGATTCCCTTTTTCCTGGCACCCAGTCTCATGATATAGGGGGATGGGGGCAATGGAGCTATACCGGCAGCACAGGAGGAAAGCAGCTCCTGGGGCAGCACAATGTGGGGACGCCTCCATTCGAGTGAGTCTGGGATAACTTCTGGGATGGCCTCATCCCAAAGGCAACTGAGGCACAGAATCTCCACGGAAACTTTGCAGTAGATGCAAAGTGGGTGTGCACTGAGCTTAGAGTGATAAAACACCAATCAAATCAACTGATCAAAAACAAGCTTGGGCGGCTCAGCATAAAGCATCCCCTCATCTTTTCCTGGTGACGTACAGGAAGTGCATGCGGTCACTTTATGTAAAAGACTCAGTCAGCCGGTGGTCCGTTGTTACCACTAAGCCTGGCAAAGGAGGCATAAGATCCGGCTGCCCAGTTTTTCTGGCTACAACCTCTTTCTTGCAGCAGGATGGCTCTTTTGCTTCATCTCCCCAAGTCTGTCCTCTGTCAAGGGTGGCCACTTGTGAATCATAATCAGAGGGGACAAAAAGGACACAAGCTTGCATAAAATGCAGATGTGATAATTTATAAGTATAAATACAAATTTAGAAGTAAGTATTATTTGAAACAGCTTTTTTTCTTTTGAAAAACGAGACAGATCTCTTTCTTTGGACTGATGGTCATCATTTTGTGACACAAAGTTGATTAGTTTGCTTTGGCAGCAAAATGTTCAGGAATAAGTATTATTTAAATAGAAATACCATAACTTACCATAGCAGGGAAGTGTGATCAATTGTTCCATCAATGTCCAGATGTGGAATGCTGATGGGCAACAGCCCAGGTGGCTGTTCCTTCTTAGGCTTCCTGATCTTGGATGGGACAGCCTTCAAATGAGGAAAACTTCAAAAAGAGGAGGTCCTCAGTTAAAAAGGACACCTGGCCACCCTTGTCTTCATTCAGAGAACCTAGAAGTTGTCAAAAAAGTCTTTAGTCTTTAGTTTTTGCTATGAACTGCTTCCATTCTGTTCTACACCTTTCTGTTTCCCAAGAATTCAGGAATCTTAGCTTGCTGTCCTCTCCTAGCCCATTCAGTTTGACTTGTAACTCACAAAACTTGGAAGCCGTAGTCTACAACTTTATTAAATTCAGGGCTGGCCTAAGCACTTGGCATCCCTGGGGCAGGAGGGCTGCTGCTGATACTGGAACTGGGTCTTTCCTTACTTTTCCTTGCCTGATCTGGCACTCCAAGCAATGGTTCTAGTCTCCATTTTAATTTCCTACAGTGCCTCAACCTCATTTCTTCTGGGTACTACAGGAGATTTAAAGGCTGGCCGGACACAGTAAGATGATGTTGCTTGGAGTTCAGCTGTTGCTGAACCTCCATGCCAGGTAAACCCAGCAGGGCCCACCAACAGAAGGTCCAGAACCCTTTCTTTCTCTGGTCCAGAACCAGAGAAAATTGCATTCTTCATAAAGGAGAAACCAAGGTTTGTTGTTGGTTTATGATTCTGGTTTGTTTGGGGAAAAGCAAGTCAGAATGTCCAGTTTAGACATTCCTCTGCTCAGTTTCTCCTGCTTAAAGGAAGAGCCAAGTGGGAACAATTCTGCAGCATATATTATCTAGAATATAGAATCACATGAGAGTTGGAAGGGGCCTAATAAGGCCATCGAGGCCAACCTCCTCAGTGCAGGACTCCAGTTAAAGCATCCCTGACAGATGGCTATCCAGCTGCCTCTTGAATGTCTCTCGTGTGGGAGAGCCCAGGATTTCCCTAGGTAATCTCGGAGCTTGCCAGAAAGGGGGTAAACAATGAACCACCTCCCTTTTTAAGCATCTATCATTCATGCCTTTGGTTTCATTTTACAGCTCACTTTTTGGCAGTTGTCAGTTGTAACCAAAGGGAAAAATAAACTTATCTGCAGACTCTGTGGGTGCTGCTGGACTGACAGGCCAAATAATGAGCTGGACATACAATCAGAATAACCTGGTTTACATGGTTAAACAACTCATAGTGGGCTGTGGCAAATGTAGGAAGCCATGTTGCATATCCAACCTCAATTGAAGGTGGTTGTGTTCTGCAAAACCAGATAGTGTGGGTTATATAGGGGCTGAACAAGCCTTCCGTAACCCCAGAACAGACCATGGGTTATGTGAGGATCACGTAAGGATAATTCCATTTCTTTGCTCTGGTCATTGTACAAGTTATTTTTGTCTCATTGTGATAATTGCTGAAAAGTTGCATTCAGGATTCTGTCCCTATTTCTTTCACCTTTTTCTTTTGCTTTTTGATTCCTTAAGAGCATTCTTCTGTCATCTGTGTAGGCCTTTTCTTTCTTTTAGCTACAAGAATTGTCTTTTGACATTATTCCCTAATAATGTATCTGGTTTCAGTCCACAGTTTTTCTGGCTGTTGGTACATTGAGTTCAATAATACAAATCTGATTTTTAATTCCTCAGGGATATTATTTAAGTTATATTTTGGCACTTTGTTTCTGATAGTAATCTTTTCTAGTTTGACTCTGATTTCTAATATTAAGAATTCATGGTCACTGCTGCAATCTGTTCCTGGTCTTGTTTTGGCACCGAGAATACAGATTCTCCATCTTCTGCTTCCAGTTACATACTTTATTTGATTATTGGCCATCTGGTGATGGCTGTACACAGTTGTTTGGCTGCTTGTTTGCTTGCTTGAAGCATGTATTTGCAGTAAACAGCTTGTTGGCTTCACAGAATTCTGTGAGTTATTCTTCTGCTTCATTTCTTACCCCTAGGTGAAATTTTCCTGCAAGGTTTGATTCTGCTTTGTTTCCCACTTTTGTATTCCAGTCACCTCAAATTAGCAGCATGTCTTGTTTAGGTGTGTTACCGATTTCCCCTTGAACACCTGCACCTTTTGATTTCTTCTTCAGCCTTCATTGTTGGGGCATAGACTTGAATGATGGTTATGTTGTTAGGATTTCCACAAATTCTGATTTATATTATTCAATCAGATTTTGCATTATAGGCTCTTACTGCCCGAGCTATATCTTGCCTTAGTATTAGAAACAACCCATTCTTCTGAGTCTGTCATTTCCAGAGTAAAACACTTCTTAGATGTCTGGCTGAAAATGTCCCATTCCAGTCCATTTTAGTTTGTTCACACCAAATAACATGATGTTTAGCTATCCCATTTCCTGATTTATGGTTTTCAGTTTGCCTTGATTCTTCGCTCTCACATTCCATGTTCTAATTGCATGCGTTGTGCAGCATCAGACTTTTCTTCCACTTCTGTGCATGTCACACACTAGACTTCCTTTCAGCTTCGATCTAGTGGAGTCCTTAGTGACTGCCCTGTTGTCCTTTGCTCTTCCCTAGTAGCTTATTGAGTGCCTCCCACCTGGAAATCTCATCTTCTGGCACAATCTTCTGTTTCATTTTGGCTTGTTTCATCACAGGGTTTTTGAGGTAAGAAAATTCAGAGGTGGTTTCCATTGCTTTCTTCTTCACAGTACTCACTAAAGTTGGCTTGAGTGTCAGCTGTCATTGTCTGCCACTGCCATCTGCAGCTACTGCTGCTGCCCAGTAGCTGTGCTTCAGAAGTTTCTCCACCGCATCATCACTGGAAATATCCATTCTCTTCTGCTGATGCGACCGTTGGATGCATCTTAGTCTGGTGTCTCTGCTTTCACCATTCTGCCTTGAGTGACCCTGCTGGGAGACTACCTAATGAGACCTTCTGGCCTCCTGGCAGCATGGTTCTCAGCTTCTCTGACCCTCTCAACCCCGCTAACCATATCAAGGTGTGCATCCAAGAGGGGGGCAGTTTTACTGTGGCTTCTTAATCACAAACAGAACAGGAAGAAAACCTCTGGTTTCCTGTTGGGTTGTGAACTCTGTAGTAGTTCATTGTCAACCATCTGCATACAGGGGTGGCCAAACCGAGGCTCGGGAGCTGCATGTGGCTCACTGCCTGGAGTGTCCATGGGCACCTGCTTGCCCCTTGCTGCCTGCTGCCACTGGCCATGGGCACCCACTAGCCATCGGCTGCTTGCTGTTGCTGCCATCTGCAGGCGCCCACTTGCGGCTCTCCAACATCTGCCATTTACTGTAAGTGGCTCTTCTGTTGAGCAAGTCTGGCCACCCCTGCTATATACCACAGTGCACTGCTCACAGCTGACGGTGACCCATACTCAGCCCATGCTCTGGCTTGTCATTGCGTGTGAACCAGGTCTGTGTGTCTTCAAAGTGCACATGCAGGCCCTGTACCCTCTGTCTTGCAGAATTTCTGACTGCTTGGAGAAAGCCTGTGGACAAACAGGTTGTCCATGCATAGACCATGAGGAGGTCTTCAGCTGAAACCCTGGACTCAAGGATGGCCTTGGATTACAAAGGGTCAGAGAAAGCTTAATCTGCCTACCTTTGAAGCTGCCCCCTCAGCAGCTGTTTACAGAAAACTGCAGGGGAGGCCAATCTTCAGCAAAAATGGTGGGAGTTGAAGGTAGCTTGGCAGGAGCATGTGCACTGGCCCACAGCTGGCATCTGTCTGGCCCCCATAAAAAGAATATTTGTTGCTCTTCCAGTGCTCCACTGAGTGCTGAATCTGGGAACTACTTCTTAAATTTCTCACAGTGCCCCAAAGGAAAACTATGTCAGAGAAATGGAGGGGGAAGTCACATTGCAGCTCCTGCCCACCAAATGTCCATTGCAATGGTGCTGTCATCTGCCACTGTCACCAGGCAAGTCCACCAGAGCCCACCGACATAGAAAACGGTAGAGCATTTTTCTGAGGGTGCCTCAAAAACCCTGGCCTTGATTCTGAGTCAGGGCGGGGCTTATGGCTCTCATTTAAGGAAAATCTCTCAATTATTCTAGCATAAATGAAGCACAGGCCCTGATTCCAATTCCACCCTCCTCACACCCACTTGAGTTAATTGAATGCCTGCACATAACCTGAGATTCATTCAATCCTTACTTTGAATTTGCATTGAGCATAGGATGTGAAGCTGTCACATATTGAGTCACAAGATTAGTTCACCTGCCACTGGATCTCAGGTGTTTCAGACAGAAGGCTTTTCAGCTCTACCTTGAGAGGCTGGGGTTGAACCTGGGACCTTTTGCATGCAAAGTATGTGCTTGAGCATGGAGTGAGCTAGCCTAA